AAACCGATCTAGCACCGGATCAAGGGACCGGTAGCGGGGACTGGGTTGTTGTTCCAAAGGAAGGCGCAAGTAATGACGCTGGTAATGGGGCGGGAGCCACTCCTTCAGGGGCAAATGAGAGCACCCCTAAAGCATCTGCCGTACCTTCAAAGCCCCTCTCAGCTGCTGCCACCCCTGCCGTTACTGACCCAGGCTCCGCGACGTTTGACCAGAATGATTTCAGCTCATTGGGGGATCTCGATACCGCAGGAGACGCTTTGGCCAACTTCGATACACCTGGTCTCGATGGGTCAGCAGGTGAGCTAGGTGATGGGCTTGATCTTCAGATGGACATTGAAGACTCTGCCTTCGGCGACGCTTTCCACAGCGTGGACACAACTGGAACACCAGGGCAAGACCTGTAGGCATAGTGACTTGAAATGGTGACTCAGGGTGCGCGTTCTGCAGGGATGGAGAAGGACTTCTGTGAAGGCCTGGTTTTAGTTTCTGGAATGAGCTGTCTAATGGGATTCAAAGAACGAGAAAGGATAAATATAAACAAATATCGGCAGGCAGCTTGGAAGATTTGACGGACAACGACGGAGAATGGCGTGGATACAAAACCCGCAACACGCGTATGTGGGCAGGCAGAGAGAGGCGTTGGCTACCTTCTCCCTTTCCTTTTTTTTACACCTTTTGCCGTTTCTTGTATCGCGACTCTATTGCATTTATATGTACTTTGGTAGAATTTGGACGGGGAGTCGGGTTGTCAATGGATATTCGCGTTTTCTATTTCCTCGATTGTTAAGGTTTTGATGTGCTGTGTGAGCCCCTCCGCAGTGAGACGAGGGCTCTGAGTAATAATAGATGAGGTAGGAACGATTTGTTATGATTTCTCGCTACTAAAGCAAAAACTAGAAGCCCCGTATTACCACTACTGTATCGATGAGCAAGTAGTCTCGATACCTGGATACCAGATACTGTATGCTCGTCAAATTATGCCATGTGATGAGTAGGTCCGTAAAATCAGTTGACCGAAATGGAAAAAAAAGCCAAAAGCAAACATCGCACCCGCTAAACCTATCCGTGAAATCATCACCAAACACCTCCAGCTTCCCTGTGACATCCCTTCTCGCCGAGGTCTTACCAGTCCTCAATTTTCCACCCTGAAATATCATCCTTACTCTACCCCCCTCAGGGGGGTGCGGCATCTAGACCTTCATCTTGCTGCGGATGTTGTTGTATCGGCTCTGGGGGTAGTCGAGCATGTTGTTAGAGAGCTCCAACGACCCCATGGCGTTTCCAACAGCCCCGACAAGACTCTCCCCGCCCGTCTTGTCGCCGGCAGCCTCCCAGAACATGGCGCCGCCGAGACCCTGCTTGCGGATATAGTCGGCCTTCATCAGGCCGACCGGGATGTTGTCGAACGACACAAGCTCCTTGGTGGTGGCATCATATGACCACGCTGCCCCGGCTTGGGTGTCGACCTTGACCTGAGCCCCCTGGCGCGGAAGGTCACGGTAGAGCCAGACGCCAGGGTCGGAGCCAGTGTTTGAGGCGACTCCCTGGTAGGCCTGGCCCAGCTGCGCGGCGGTGTTGAGGAACGAGCGTCCGTAGAGGGGCATTCCCAGAACGATCTTCCCCGGCGAGACCCCGCCCTTAATGTAGTCCTTGACGGCCTGGTCTGTGTTGAACTTGGTGCTCTGGGGGTTGGCACTGCTGTAGAATAGGTTGGCGGCATGCCCAGTGGTGGTATCCCAGCTGCCAGCATAGTCATAGGCCATCAAGTTCCAAGTATCGACGTATTGATCCATGGCCTTCATGTTCAGGAGTTTATACTTTTCCGGGCCGGCTGAAACGGCGATGGTGAGGGGGTAGCGGTAGTTTTGATTGTTGTCCTTCGCATACTTGTCGAGGGCTGCCCGGCAAGCTTGGAGCAGGAGCACAAAGTTACTGGAATCGGCCTGAGTCTCGGGGTACTCCCAATCAATGTCAAGGCCATCGAAACCCCAGTCACTCATGAGCTGAACCGCAGTCGATGCAAATCGTTGGCGGCCGGCCGCCGTGTTTGCTGCAGCTTGGAACTTCCCTTGCTGGGAGTAGGTGTAGCCACCGATGGAAAGCAGAGTCTTGAGGTTTCGGTACTTCTGCTTGAGAAGATAGAGCTGCTTTACGTTTCCGTAGGCGTTGGTTCCTGAGGATTCCTGAGTATCTCCATCGTAGCGAATTTGATAATCTGCCCAGGGATCCGCAGATATTCTATCAAGATTGTCAATTAGTATCGTAAGTGAGGTAGAAATAGAGGAACTCTCGATATATGAGAAGGAAAAAACTTACACGCTCCCGTCCGATCCAATATCTCCAAAGGCGTATAGAATGTGCGACACTTTATTTACAGACATATCCTGGGGCCGAAACTTCTGGTTATAAATGGACCTGTTATCAAAATTAGTAAAGTTAACGTTGTAAAGGGAGGGATATCAGCCGAGCTTACCAAGCACCAAAGTAGACCATGTTCTTGGGACCATTGACTGGCGACGGCAACGGAGCTGGAGTCGGAATCGGAGTCGTGCCAGGCTTGCTAGAGACGCGTGGTGTTGTGGCCCGGCCCGAACTAGGTGATGGAACGATGGAGGTTGTGAATCCAGATCTGACACTGCTTGGAGCATAACCAGGCGGTGTCTGAAGCCCAGGAGAATAACCGGGTGTGCCAGGAGTTACTCGAGCCGTAGGGGTAGAAAAGATCACACCAGGGCGAACGGAGTTCTGAGAGGAGGTCCGACCTGGAGGAGGAGAGTAGTAGTCATAATCGGGTAGACCATTGCTAGATGAGTCACAAGGGCATGGATGTTTTTGTGCTGGGTTGGGGGGGATTGGAGCTGCGCTACGGGCAAGCTGCGTGATAGTGGTGACAGAGGTGATGACAGTGGTGAGCGTTCCATCTGGGCAGCCTCTTGGAAGTGAGTCCGCCTGCTCTGTAAGGGCAACTGGCACCAGAAGCGCGAGAAACAAAGAAGCCGTGAGCATGGTAACCAAACGTCGAAGCTACCACGATGTTAACCCTTAGGAAATAACGAGTGAAAGCAGAATACAAGTCAACCAAACGAATGTAGGAGGCAATCCTTGTGTGAGATAGAGGGTATGGTGATTCTTCTGGAAGCGAAGGAGGTAGGTCTAATGGAAAACAAATACTTGAACACCTGGGCACCAGAAGAGATGTCACTGAACAATAGCGAAATTGAGAAGCAGACACGGTTATTGAATACTTTTTATTCCTAGCCTGAGCTCAGTGTGAAGAGAGACTGATAGTAGACATGAGCATATTTTTGGTGGGACGTCTCACCAAGACAGACGGAATGGCCGCTCTCTGGAATGGGTAGCCACCCATTTACACTGCAACTGTCATCGGTTGTTGACAGTTGGTGTCAGTCGAGCAGTGGAGACCAATGTCACTAACGGTCTTGGAACATGGTCGACGAGGATCTCTTCCAAGAAGAATTACACGCAGCACGCAACGGGTGAGAGAGAGACCTTTGGTCGTAGCAATCAACCTGGAAGACCATATCGCGGCCCGTAAGACGTCCCCGTCGCCTTACTGTGACGCGAGGACTAAGACAACAAGATCAATATCCAACAATGGACAAGAAAGCCCAGTTTGCTTGTTACTTGTTTGTGTGGACGGCCGAAGTTGCCGACAACACATCTAGAGACGGTAAGTTTGCCGTCGGGGTGGCTGGCTTCTGAGGGTCAGGATGGAGGACAGGACCACTCGCTCGAACCACATCATTCCGGTCCTCGACTAGTTTTCAATAGGTGATAGCACATTGTTCCCATATCCTATACGTTGCAATGCCTCCCAGTGGCAAAGTCAGCGATCGACAATAGTCTTGCTGTATGGCTGGCATCCATTGCTTATGGAAGTGCAACATCAAAATCCAGGAACAAAAGGGGGCCGAGGCAGTGTGGGCTGCATTGTCAGGGAGCCCCAATATTGCTGCTGCTGCTGCTGCTGCTGCTTCCCTTTCCTCCACCCGGCTCCATCCACTAGAGCTAGGGGGAATGAGGCGAAGCTGGACCGATACGGTCGGCTGCAGGGCCCGGACCCTTCTGTGGTCACCTCGCCTCCATCTCGACAAATGCGATGGCAGAGGGCTTCCGCATGGGGGCGGTTCCTATGACTTGTGAGTCTGCACAGGGAGGGACTTCGGTGGTGATTAAATGAGGCACATTCTTCGTTGGGGCGGAGTCAGTCAAGGGAGCTGCAAGCCCACTTGCTGGTGGAAGTTGGATCACAGAAATGCGAGCCAGCAAGAGGCGAGTGAAATTAAGCTTAAAGTTAGTGTGTACTGAATACTTTCAAAATCATGCATGCTTCTCACAGACACCCGTACTCGATACATGGCATTCATGCATGTCCTAGTGGGCGAGAAGCGCGTCTAGGTTAGGCAGGTGCACGCACATCCCGGCCCTCACGTGACGTTGGGCTGAGATCGCTTCGAGGCGATGTGGGAGACATCACCCGGTCATCTTGCGCCCATCTTCCGGGGGCCGTTACATATCTGGCCACGGCCGCCTCTGATCCTGGAGCATGGCACCGAGAGTGGCAGCCTATCTTCCTCGCAGTCGGCCGAGTGCCGTCGTATCCGACGCAAAGCCACAATCCGGGGCGTCACATGTCCGTCAGCAACATGGATTCCCGGAACCTGTCCCCACATGAGACCGGGGATTGCAGGCAATGAAGCAATGTGAATGGACGGATCTTGATGTGTTCGGGCGAGAATCCCCGTATGAATAATATTGAAACTCCAGCTGGGCGAGCCCAATCTCTTGGCATCGAACCCGCCAATCTTGGAGCGTTCTCCAGACTTAGTATAAATGGATCAAATGTCCCCTTAGCGAGTGAGCGCTTTTGCTCTTCGATATCGTATTTGAATCGACAAATTCGTTTGCTTCGTCTCTTCGAGCTCAACGCCCCCGACCCGTTCAACCTAAAATCATGCGCACAAGCATGGAGCACCGTCATGTCTTCCAATGCGTCCATCCGTTCTAATGTCTCCAACAAGACTGCCCAGCCGATTCGTTACGGCTCCGATCTTTTTAGCTATGACCAACGGTCCTGCTCTAGCCAGATCCTTCTCACTGGCGCAAACGCGCGTTCCCAGGTCGAATATGATGAATATGTTGTCTATCGGAAGTTAGATGATTCATCTCCTGATGCAGCGTCGGGTAAATGTAGATGGCCGCAACATGATGATACTCATATAGCCCACCGCTATAGTAGGGACCATACCTCTGGAGCCGCCATGTTGGACCTTGCCTTCAGGCATGGCCATCGGCTGGATCGTAATGTACGTTCTATACCGACTTCTTTTTACTTGTACAAGCAGTAGTTCGCGCTGTTTTATACAATCTTTTCCAACCATCGACTCTGTTCCTGATCTCAAGCTAACCGCCGAGAAGGGCAATTTCACAGCAGCCGACGATGAAAATGACCCCCAGGATGACTCCGTAGGGGGCATGCTTGGCCGTGTTCGCAGAGTGTAAGCAGCCTTCATGTTACCCTATTCTCTGCTTTTGACGCAGCATGTTAACTCATACCTGGCAGAATCTGCTTCCGCCGCAGTTCTAAATTGCATGGTGCACCAGACCAACTCAGCATGACTGCTGAAGATCTCGCTGACCTTGATCTCCATCCGGCGACTTTGCAATATGCAACTCGGGTTGCAACGGAGTCCCGATTTTGGTCGAGAGACCGCTCAGTGCTGAGTGAGTGAAACGAAGCAAAACAAGTCGCAATCTCAGGGGCTAATGAACCACCAACTAGGCCTCATTCTATCTTTTTCAGAGACGCCACAGACCCCATGTGACTTTCTTTCCATGACATACAATGTTGATACACAGTCAACGACAATTCTGATTAGGCAGTCATGGGAGCCCCGTAGACACAGACTAGATGAGCTAGATGAATATGATCATCGTCTTGAGTCGTGCCGAGATCACTGGGCACACCCTCTCGTCATGCCTGTCATTCTTTTGCAAGTCGATTTTGTGCGCTGCGAGGAAGCGGTCGCCGAGAACACTCTAGACGTCATTCATCTAGAGCAGTTGGTCATCGGTGCCCACGGGTCTGGGTCAGGCATGGAAAAACTGTCAAGGCGACATTCCAACCTGAGCAGAGATGACAGCAAGATTGACCACTATGGCCCAATGAACCAGACAAGTCTCATGAGGAGGGCTCACGAAGTTCTCAGAGGTACTATCAAGTTGCTTGATACAATTCGCTGGATGGAGCGGGCTGTCAAAATTTTGATGCTCTCCGGGGATGAGCTTTCTGACCGGGTTTCTGCCTTTGGTTATGCGTCATCCGTCAAGGACTTGAACATGGGTGGTGATAGGTTTGGGAACTTTGAGAGGCAGCCCTCGCCTCTGCCGACCCTTCAAGTTCCCGGCCTGGAACCCTTATCCCCTGGTATTGCCACCCCCTTCGCTTCCGATAGTGCTGGCGAGCTCAGCATCCATTGGCATGAGCTTAGGCAGTACCTGGAGGGTTTGCTCCGCCTGTCGATGAGTTTGGAGACGGAGCGGCGTATGGCTGAAGCCAGATGCCGCGCCCAGATCGATATCGTGAGTATTATATATTGTGAAGAGGACAGGATCAAGATGAGGAACAGTTGCTCACACCACACAGATCTACAGTAGAATGGCCCAAGAGGACAACGCGTTGAATGCCCGGATGGCGGTGGCATCCACCAGAGACAGTGCTTCGATGAAAGCCCTGGCCGTGATTACAGCCATATTCCTCCCCGGAGAATTCATTGGCACTCTGTTTGGCATGTCCATGTTCGATTGGTTGGCACCCAGCAAGGATGATGACAAGACCGCCGCCGCCAGCGCTCGTGATGAGCCAGAGTCGGATGAAATACTGAGCCGCCAGTTCTGGGTATACTGGACTATTGCTATCCCCCTCACCATGTTCATCATATGCGCCTGGCGAGCTTGGTGGGTTATCCAGGATCGATACTTTCGTCGGCACCTATCTAGGGAGCTCAGCGAGGAGCGCTTCTGGACCGAAGACGGAAAGCCCAGGAACCTGGAGCGTAGTTTTATGCATGACTTCTTCTATCTTTCCGCACGGCGCGATGAGAAGGTCTCAGTCCCTAGAGGCGTAGAAGGCTGGGCAGCCTCGATGCCAGACAAGGACGGGATGGAAGGGTTGACCCGAGTTCAGACCAGAGCTTCTGACACGAGGCATCGCCAGATCCTTACCGCAAGACAGACAAGCATCAAGCTTACCTCTAATACTGCTTGAAAGAAAGGACGGCAGGAACAGTCGCATCTTATCAATGCTCTGATCTCTCTTGGTGGGCTTTCTCCCAGACTTTCCTGCAAGAGTATCACAGCATGCGGTAAGATCACAGCTTGGGCAAACGCCCTATCGATTATCCCAACAAGAGGACAGTAAGTATTTTTGTTATTTAAATTGTATGTACCAATATATCATCTATTTGAAGTCAAATGGACATCTCTCGATCCTTTAGCTCGGTGACGATGGTAAATCTACCCAAACGGTATCACCCACTTGAATGAAAGGATGTTGTGTTTCATTTGTTTCGGTTCCTCCTTTTGGATTCAATGTCATGTGTGATCCAAAGTAAACCTTTCCGCCGAACCTTCGTGTTTTAGACAATGTCGTAAAGGGCTCCTGTCGCTTCTCGCCAGTGGACTGGTCAACGCAAACCATCTGGCACCTTTGACAAGCACCTAGAAGTTTGAAATTATTGTGCCCAATTCGTAACAATCGCCACGCATCTTCGGAAAATGGCGGATGGCATTCCTTTAAATTGGAAGAATGAACAACAATGTTGGCCCGGAATACAGCGGCATCAACCGGGGGAGCTCCCTGGTCCGTTATGTCTCTATTTAGTGCTTCAACACTGGACTCGTGAATCATCAGAATAGGGCTTTCATTGGACAGAAGAATCTTGCTATCCTCTGGCTGTTCAGAATCCGATTCTGGTGGAGACGGTATGTCGGGGAATGCTCCAGGAAGCCTGCAAGATTGCTTCTGCAGCTGATGTGATTGCATCCGCGCTTTTGAGGAGCGGCTACTTGACCCTTGGCCTCCTGGAGGAAAACGAGAGAGAACACACGGCACAGCTAAAACATCCGAGAAGAACCCATTTATCTCGGCGGAAATATACCTGTGTGCTGATATTTTCTCCCCACATACTCGTGATGTCATTTGGCGGTCGGCCATATCGAAGAGGGAAGGATTGTTTGATAGGGGGACGGAAACCTGCTTTCTTGGAGTCCCTTTGTAATCTACCCGAAGAAAGCCAGTCTCAAAGTCCAAAACTGGCCGGATAAGAGCCATTTTCGGATATCGTTTCTGGCTGAGAGCTTGGCCTGTCCCCGCGTGGACTAGACACCATTCACGATCCCAAGCGAGACCTTCGGATCGAATCTCCCAGGGTACATGGGCCGGGACGACAAACCCTCCACAGCTTTTTATCGGGTATACTGTAATTGTTTTGACGAACATTGACGGCTGTTTCCTGAGAGAATCTGCTTCCCTGGTCAATATTTCAGGCCCTTGAGCCTTAACCTCGGCGAAGAACTCCTGCACAAATGCGAGGAATTTCTCGACGTCTGACATTGTGCTCATAGCCCCCAGGCTGACCCTTATCAGCCCGGTTGGTTTACCACCCATGATATCGTTCTCTGACCCGCAACGAAGCCCATTCGAGAAGTTTCTCTTCATCTCCCATGGTTCTAAATTCAATGCCGATGATATCCCTCCGGGGCTGCACATCGCTCCAGTGCGTAAATGAAATTTCCGGACAGCAGCTAGCTTTTCAACTTCGACAAGGCTGACCCATGTCCCAGCTGAGTTTTTGATGTTAAAGGATACGATAGGACCCATGTTCGACGTAGATGGCAATACGCCAAACTGTTGGCTCGGGTAGATGATACAGACTGGGTTTCCGTTTCCATGTAGCATGTTTCGTAACCCGGAGCGTAGACACAAGGACAGGTTTTCAGTATGCTCCTTGACTTGCATCATGGATCCAAACAATCTCTGGTGAACTGTGAGTGCGATATCAAGTGCCAGGATGTTGTGGAATGGAAGTGTGCCATCCTCTAGTCGGTCGTGTAGGGATTCGGTTTTTGGGATTTGCCACTCTTCCTTACCGCATAGTACTAGGTCTACAGTACCACCTCCAAAGTATTTCCGGAAGTCAAAGATGGTTTCGGCTTCACGCCGAACAATCAAAGCTCCCAAGTCAGGGAAGCCAAAAATCTTGTAGAGGCTCAGCACAGTGAAGTCCGGTGCTGTATCTGGCATGCTTAGGTCCAAAGGTGATGTGGCAACAAAAGAGGCCGCATCAAGTAGAGTGAACACGCGTGCATTGGAGGAAACACGACCTGCGTCCCTTATAGACTTGGACCATGACAAGGGATACCTGCGGCCATCCATGTGTGATTGGGCCGTGTAGGCAACCAAGGTTGGGGACTCGGGGTTCGAAAAGGCTGTCAAATGTGTGCCATCTTGTATCCATGAACCGAACGCTGCATCATCCAGACAGATACTCTTGGTCGCTTCTCCACGAATTCCTACAAGACTTGTGTGGCAAGCTTGATGGTATGCATAACGGAAGCCTCGGGGCTGGGTACGAAACCCTTCAGTAACCAGCCTGACACCAGCAGTGGCATTTGCCACGAAGATGAGATCAAAGTCACGGGGGTCAGCATGGAAAAAGCTCAGGAGTCGCAGACGGATGTTTTCAATCCGTGAGGTGGAACTCTGGGAGGGCACCGAGACCGAATGTGGATTTCCAAAAAGAGTAGAAGTCATCTCAGCAGCAAATTGATCCATGAGACTTTTGGAGTAAAGCGTGGCACCAGCATGGTCGAGATACGTGGCATCTGTGTAGTACGCTGGTCAGTGATTTGAGCAGCAGAATGAGGGTGCACGCGAAAACAACCTTGAAGCATGGGATACTCCCGCTGCCGCATATTTGCAACAGCTTCGTTGTAGGAGGAGACATTAGACATGCCAGCTGGGAGTGCCGACTCCATTATCCACTAGGATTATGATGAAGCGGATCGAGTCCCCAAATAAGAGCCAGTCAGAAGGAAACGGGGTTTAATAATCTGGCGTCGAGTGAATCTGGGGTAGATCAAAGGGGGCCGGATGGTGGTCTTTCCTCATAGACACCAGCACCTGCTTATCCTTAGGTTTCATGGTATCTCCAAGCCAAGGCTATCGCGAGGGAAGAAGTGGTTTGCTTGTAATATGAACTGTGCTTCTTATAGAAACTGAGTCCAACAGGACGATAGATAAGTGTCTCCATCGTGCCCTTGTCCAAGGATGTTGGGGTCATCGTCCCAAGTGGGGAGGCCATCGGAAATCGCCACCTTCCATTCCAGTGACGGATGCAAACCTATGGGATTGGTTGGCTGGTGCTAGACGGAAAGAGTAGGTACTGCCTACAAGCACAGTGTTTCAAGTGGGCGTTGCGGCCGGTTGCGATGCTGGATTAGGCCTGTACCACACTAAGCTCCAGATGTTTGAGCGACAGGACAGTGCGAATTCGACGGCCAATGGACTTCCCCAGGCTGCATTGCAGCTTACCCTGTTTTCTCTAGTCCGGATTTCAGGGAGGTACTCTCAGGCGATGCTCTGCCGGGTAGGTACTTTGCCTGATGTTGGTGATCTCCCCCTTGTGAGTTGGCCCTCCGCTGTCCAATGAAAGAATCGCCCTACTCACTTAGGTGCCTTAGGTTCACTAATAGTGGTACGTGGGTTTTGTACCGTCTTCTGTTCCTGGAGCGGTCCCCGTCCCATCTCCCTGCCGAAAGCTTCACCTGCAAGCCTCACCACCTTCATCTTCAACGCGTTGTTTGTTTGACAGGCGCGCAATCACGAAATCGCGCAGTCAGCTCTCAATGAGAAGCGCTCATCATTAATGTTCGTTACCCTCTCTCCATTTGATGTCTCTCTTTCGAGTGCCACGCTTCTTCTGCCTTATTCTTCTCTGCTCTCCTCTCCTCGTGGTCCCTACCTTCCTTCCTCGTTGTGGATTGATTCTATGCCTCCCTTCCGCACCTACACCTCAACCCCATCTAATCTGTCTTCTATTTCTTCTACTATGGATCCTCTTTTTTGTTTCTGGACATTTGGTTCTGGCAAGGGCTCGTCCTTGCGTCATCTTTGTTCCTTTGTTCCCGTTCCTCCACCCTCTCTTTCTCACATCCTCCGCAAGAGAGACATTTCTCTAACATTCAATCAATTCGCCAAGCAGTAATCAATCGCAATTCTATCCACGATAGCCCTCAAGAGAGTATATACATATACGACGAAGAACGAGACGCGCAAGCCCACCCGTCATCTCCATGGGCCCAGTCCACTAAGTTACGATGGACTCATACTCGTCATACAGAGAAGGGGGCGCGCGTTCTCCCAGCGAGAGGACTTGGGCGCGTGACGAATCAAGAGGCAGAGAGGACCGGGCCGAGAAGCCCTACCGTGCGAGATCGCCAGGTATGGCTCATGATCGAAGAAAGCAGGCTTCAAGCGCGTTATCAGCTTGTTGTGCCAATTTTCGTTGCTGACATCTTACGTACAGGTCAGGATCGCCGAGATCGACGCCGCTCTCGATCTCCCAGCAACATCGATCGCTACGAACCCAGATCACGGAGAGATGATCGCGACGACCGCCGTCGCATTGGCTCCCCCCTGCGAATATTGATCGCTATGTTCCTGGTCAGGAAAACAGCGCTCCGACTCCGGTCCAAAATCCCCTGACCGATCCTGGCCGTCTTCCGTACCAAGTGGGATTCTCCTACTACAGCGAATGGTGGAGAATGAATGAGAAGGTCAAAGAGGAAAAGGAAAGGGCCCGAACCGGTCGTCGTCGCGAACCTGAGAGAGCCCGAGGTGCTCGCGAAGTTGCAGAGGAGCGTGAAAAGGAAAAGACAAGGATCCAGGCTGCCTACAACACATATAAAGAAGACCTCCAGGCAAAAATGGCACGCACCTTCGTCTCTGAACATAAGAAAGAGCAATGGTTCAGGGAAAAATACGTCCCGGAAGTGAGGGACGCTTTCCGGTCCAAGCTCAATGAAGTTAGGCGCAGCGCTTACCATCAATGGGAACAAGATCTGGAGTCGGGTACTTTTGACGAATTCTCCCTCGAGGGCATTCCGAAGGCCGATAGTAATGGAGCTGGCGGTGTTGCTGAGAAGGAGGAAGGTGAAACAACGGCCGCGAGCGAGATTCTCGGAGTTGGTGATCTCAATCCTGGCATTGGCGCTGACATTCGAGACGAGAATCAGTTTCAGCCAACTCTCTTGATCAAAACCATTGCCCCTCATGTCAGCCGAGAAAACCTGGAATCTTTCTGCAAGGAGCATCTTGGGGAAGAAGAGGGTGGCTTCAAGTGGCTTTCTCTATCTGATCCCAATCCCAGCAAGCGATACCATCGCATCGGTTGGGTAATGCTCCACCCTGCCTCCGAGACTGCGATGGCCATAGATAGGCCCGACCCCAAGGATGTTGACGGCGACGAGCCACTTAGTTCGCCCAAGCCGGTCTCGACCGCTGAAAAGGCTCTGGAGGCTGTGAATGGCAAGACAGTCAAGGACGAGGTTCGAGGTGACTTTGTCTGCCATGTTGGTGTTCACACTCCCCCAACTAGTCCTCGAAAGAAAGCTCTCTGGGACTTATTCTCTGCACCTGAAAGGGTGGAGAGAGACCATGAGCTCGTACAGCGCTTGGTAAACTACTTTGAAGAAACCTTCGGCTCTGATTTTCAGGCGATCCTGAGAGTAGAGGAAAAGGTAGAGAATTTGAGAAGTGCAGGTCGCCTTCAGCCCCCGGCTCCTACGATCACAGCCTCCAAGTCGACCAAGACTCGTGTGCCTGACAACGATGAAGATATGGACGCTGAAGTTGGCACTGTGGAAGAGGACGAAGAGGAAGGCGCAATTGAAGATGAAGAGGTAGACGATGAGGCTCTTCTCGTGAAGAAGAAAGAGCTCGACCTTTTGATCGAGTATCTGCGACGAGTATTCAACTTCTGCTTCTTTTGCGTGTTCGAAAGTGACTCGGTTCATGAGCTCACTCGAAAGTGTCCCGGTGGTCATCTCCGTCGTCCTCGCTCCACTCTATCATCTGCTGCTCGAGCCGTAGCAAGAGCTAGCGCCAGCGGAGAACCTTTCCCTGAAAAGAAGAAAGGCGATAGCATGGAGGAAGGTGAAGATGGAGAGGTGGCAGACCTTGAGAATAAGAAGTTTCGGGGTTCTGCCAATAAAGGCGAACAGCAATTGCTCCGAGCCTTCAACTGGGTTAAGACTTTTGAAGACAAGCTTATGCAGATTCTTGACCCACAGGCTGTTGATATTCGAAAGCTTGGCGGCCGCTCCATCGAAGAGGCTATTGATGAAGAGCTATTGAAACATGTCAAGCAAGAGGACGAACACAAATGGAGATGTAAGGTTCCTGAGTGTACGAAACTCTTCAAGGAGGAGCACTTCTGGAAGAAGCATGTGGAGAAGAGGCATTCAGACTGGCTCGAGGGCCTCAATCAGGAAGTAAGTGCAATGATATGCAAAGCCAGCTTGCAGCGTTTTAGTCACTAACTTTGGTGTAGTTCGAGCTTATTAATGCGTACATTTTGGATCCGGCACATATTGCTCCATCCAGGACAGACGCGAACTCCAATGGCCACTTCCCTCAGCCGAATGGACAAACCGCCCCTGGCACTCCAAGAGGATTCAACCTCCAAAACTTCTCAATGAATGGCATGATGGTCCCAGGCTTTAACATGGCAGGCGGTAACTTCCCTCCTTTGTTTTCTGGGATGCAGGCTGGGTGGAACGCCATGGGAGATGACCGTTCAGGAGGACCCATCCGCAGGGGTGGTATGGGTGGTAACCGCGGCCAGTTCCGATCTGGACCCTACGACCGCCGTGGTGGAAGATATGACGGTGGTAGGAATCGCACGGGCGGGTCACGCTGGGGTGATGGCGCCGGTGCAGCAGCAGGTGGGCCAAGAGAGGCTGTTCAAGGTCGGAGCTTGAAAAGCTACGAGGACCTTGATCATGTCGCTGGTGGGGGCAGCGGTGAACTGAATTATTAAGTTCGACAGCCAACTGGCGTTGGAGGCGACTTCGTGGTTTTGTTCCTAGAGGGAATATTTCCATCCATCCATCAGGCGGTGAATCTCCTATCTAAGACATGGTAAAAAGGGTAGAGAGGCGTGCGATCTGAAGGCACGGGGACAATCTAACAATCCACGACGCAGATGTCAATCCTATCAGGCTTCTACATTAGAGGCCTATATTTTGTTGTACAGAAAGATCGGGCGTCATATTTACATTCATAGTTTATGAATTTCAGCTAATATTCAAATTGATTTCATCATCTTCATCAGAACTGCGGCTCACTCCCATAACATATACACAAGTAGACCTAACATCAAGTCTAAGAGATGAAGAATAATTGGAGCGCATTTCAGGTTATGCCCATTGTGCAAAGTGAGCATAAAAACCAGCCAATGGGGTATCCCGATGAGAGCGCTGCCAACCATGTTGTCTCCACACCCCGCCATTTCACTGCTTGACTTTTTTTTTTTGCGAGATCGTTTGTTATCCACTATCCACTCATTTCCCTTCTGCTTCATGACCCCGTTCGCTCAATTGCCAAGCGTTGGTTTAATTGTTTTCCTTTGAAGATTTTTTTCTTCTAAAATCGAAAATCGAGAAGAGACTTCCACCATGGGTCTCCTGGCAGAAACTAAGACGTGAGAGGCTTCAGTCAATCTACAGTTCCTTTTTGGCTAACCCAATCCCGTTGCACAGTCGCCGGAGAATAAACCATGATCCGAACAACACCAAATGGACCCGTGACGAGACGACGTTCGGCCAGAAGATCCTACGATCCCAGGGATGGCAGCCGGGCGAGTTTCTAGGCGCCAAAGATGCCCCTCACTCAGAGCTACACACGGCGGCGAGCGCATCCTATATTAGGGTCTCTCTGAAAGATGACATGAAGGGCCTGGGATTCGACAAGGCCAAGGAGAACGAGATCTCAGGACTCGACGCATTCACAGATCTCCTGAGCAGGCTCAACGGCAAGTCCGCAACGTCGGTCGAGGAGGATAAGCAGGCCAGGATGGTGGTCAAAATGAACCGCTACGTTGAGCAGAAATTTGGGCCCATGCGTTTCGTCCGGGGCGGCCTGCTAGTTGGAGACGAGCTTAAAGAGGAAGAAGAAACGAAGGAGTCTCCAGAAGAGGCAGTATCAACCCTGGCGGAGCAGAAGGAGGAGGCCGAAGTACCGGAACAACAATCCAAGAAGCGCAAGGCATCGTCGCAGTCGGAAGGGGACGAAGAAACGTCAGGCAAAGATTCCGAGTCCAAATCCAAGAAGCGCCGCAAAGACGGGGAGAAGAAATCCAAGAAGAAGTCAAGTGATGAATCAGAAGCGAACGACAGCAGCGATGTTGCAAGGAAGGAGAAGAAGAAGTCCAAGAAGGACAAGTCAAGACAGCAGAGCACTGCAACTTCAGCAGATGAGTCGGAGAACACCGAGCGAGCCTCAAAACGGAAGTCGAAGACTGACGTGTCTGCTGACGACGAGGGGGATGACAGGAAGGAGTCTAAGCAGGCCAAGAAGGAGCGAAAGGAGGAAAAGAGGGCAAGAAAGGATCTAAAGAAGCTGGAAAAGAAAGAGAAAAAAGAAGAGAAGAAGCGCAGGAAACTTGAAGGCTCTGACCGAGAAAAATCTTCTTCTGTTACACCTTCAGGCTCCGGAACCTCTACGCCACGCAGCAACCCACACATGGTACGAAGCCGGTTCTTGGCAGCAAAGCGAGAGGCGATGCTCAACGACAATTCAATTAACAAGGTGAGAGAGAACACTGCATACAGGAAACGAATTTTCTGGTCTAAGCTAACTTCATTCTCAGATCTTCATGGTGAAAGCATAGGCGTGTTGTTTTCTAGACTGTCGTACTCGGAGAGCGATAGATTACTACCAAAACGGGGTTAGCACGATGGGTGCATTATTTTGGAGTTCTAGCTGGTAATTACGGCGCTCAGCATAGTTGGTTCTATGTTTTCTCATTATCGATATTCAAGTAGAGTAGGTAGGTACCTATCCAAATTAAAATAGACAGCCTATGCGCCTTGGCGCCCTACAAGCGCTTTCAATCATGACCCAGTTATTTGTGGTCGCGGCCGGGGGATGGGCATAAATGGAGATGCATCAGGCAGCAAATCGTCTCAGCCAGGCACTATTCTTGCATTACAGGCTTCGACCTGAGACGCGTATGACAAGCCAAGGTACAGATGCCTATATATTCACCTACTACCTAGGTAGACATGGAACAACATTGCCGGGAATGGCAGGACTTAATCGGGCCCAGAGCAGCCAACATGTTGCAGCTCGGGGCCTGCCTCACCCCTAGTAATTGAATGACAGAAGAAATAAGATATCAAAGTGAAAGCAGTCATAAGTAGGGCGCTTTTGCAATTATAGGATAGTCAAGCAATATAGAGCAAGAAAAAAAAAGATCATTTGTAGGGAGTGTATTGTCTCTTGGATAGTGATTATTGGCTCTCAGTGATCTAGGCCATTCACCGACTCTGCATCAGAATAATGTTTGAGTGTAACGATCCCCCCGCAGCTGCCTAACACCTAGGTCTCCTGATCTTTCGTGCCGTAGAAAGATCTACCTTAGACAGCATAAACCTCGAAGAAGCCACTGTTTATGCTCCCTCAAGTGCTGCCAAGCTACACTGGTGAAGATAAGTGCCGAGTAGTGCAAGCCACGCGTATGAATATGAGAATTACTACCAGGAATTACTTCCAAGGTACCTTATAATTATCCATTATCTAGCACCTAATACCGCATATATGTCTGCAAGGTTCCTCAATCTCGCGAATTACAGTTCCGCCATCACGCGTTGATACCTGAGGTTTCAATGTGTGGCAGCCGGTGGCGCCTGCAGCCCGACGGTATTAAAGCGCTGCCTCCCACATCCTCACTTCTCACCTTCCTCTCTCTTCTCCATTACTCCACCCTCACACCAAGTCGCCTCGATTTCCTTCCTTTATCGCCGCTTCTTCAAATAAAGCTGCCCAGCATGATTCCCATACCTTGACAAAGTCGAGAGAGTCAAAAATCGCAACATTGCGCTACTCTCGTTCTCCATTCAGTATTTTCCTACCAGCACGGAGAATGTCTGGAAGTGATCTACCATGCTCATAGGTATATCTCCAACACTTGCCCTGCCGTTTTTTTCTGTTCCTCTAACCTTTCTCAAGGGCCTATCGAATATGTGATTGCCAAAGATGGCACAATCATGACCCGGTCGTCGCAGGCGCTCTAACTCGTCGACCCAATTTGGATTGTTTGTCCTGGGCAGGACATTAAAAGGCCCAACCTGTGCAGAGATGATCATCTCTGACACAATTATGGGGATCCGTAAAATGCGCATCCTCATACTTGCATGGCAGGACTCGTTAGGGTTCAGCACTATGTTGCCATGTTTCAACATGGCAGGACTCGCTAGTGCTCATCGCCATGCTTCCGTGGACCGTGGCATTACTTGCCGGGGATCACCACCATGCTTCCATGACGGACTCGTCAGGTTTCGATTCCTGAGGACTCGAAAGGACCAAAATGGCTTGCTCCGTGCCGCCGTTTGTTTTCTTCAACCGGTTCAAAACATCTGTCCTAGATGGAACCAGATGTGGTTAAGCCTGGTCTTTATGAAGTCATTGCATAGGGTAATGCAGTGGCAGAAGACATCGGGCTCGTCCCATCTGGAAGGGGTTCGCGGGGGTATAGAAGGATCGAGGTTTTCATTTCGGCTCAAAAGGCTCTTTCAGAAAGTTGAGTCCCACAAACTACCGGTATGTCCCTAATTTTCTTCTTTCTTTTTCCCTCATCTCTAACTTTGCTGCAGAAATCAGGATCTAGTTCTATCCCCCCCAGTCTTAGGAGCGAGGTTATCAAGAAACGTCTTACAGGAGCCACGTTTCTGCTACAATGCCAATTTTGTCAGGTTTGGTTAGCCGTTGCTCCCAACGGGATTTTCTTTGGGCGAGGTCAAGCTGTCAGAACTCACCGAGTGTGCTACAAATGCCGCTTGGCGCACGATCTGCGTTGTCTTGATCTTACCCGAACATCCTGTTCTCGGCTAGCTGTCTTTCAGGCCATGGAAGCTTGCGGACAATGACGTCCGTCAAATAACCGACAATTTGACAATTGTTAGACAATGATCACGACATTGTACTGAGATGCTCTACCATTGGATATTGATACAGCCAAGGGGCAACGCCCACCAGTCACGGATCAGCATGAACCGAGCCACCACAGGTTCCTTTGAGCGTCTTCGTCTCTAAGGTATTCTAGGTGGCACTGGTGGAAACTTCCAGATTACCATCTTTTCTGAAGGGGATAGGCGCGATAGTAAGTGTCTGACTGGGTTTAGTCAGGCAACTTTGCCCCGGAGCCAGCATCTCGGACTCGGCCGAGGAAGATGATTCATACTGCGTGATTACTTGTTCTCAGGAATGATTGTAATCAAGTATTCAAGATCTGGAAGGGAGTTGACGGGCAGAGCTGGTCGCGCCGCTCACCTTGCGAGCATATCGCAATATCAATGCCCATTACCCGGCTTATCGTTTTTCACAACGGTATGGAGTATGAATTAACTCTTCAACTAACTGAAGATGATACACATCATTCGCAAAACTTGTTTACTGCCGGTTTTCAAGAATTGCTGGTCTGTTTGAACAGATGGGCCATGTATGTTGTGTTGACTGTCAACTTCGACTCTTCAGCTAAATCGAAGGGAAATAAAGGCGGAGCAATAGGTGAAAGTGGGATATCACTTTTAACAGAGGCAACTCTCCGTACTCATATCACATTTAGGAGAGGGGACTCTGCATCGGTTCCTTCTCCTTGTTGGAGTACTTAAACCCGCCGGTTGAATCCGCTTGGCAAATGTCGAGAAGAACGGATTACACAAATTTTTGGCCAAGGGGAATTGGAGATGGGCGAAACTTGGTGTTTGAGCTTGATGCATCGATCAAGATATGTATTTACTCAACAGTCACCTAAAACCGAGACTTGACCATTGTTCCCAACTTAATGACCCTACATGATCGTTTGGTATTTTCAGCTTCATTACTGACTAGAGTCCAGCCAGGCGGTTACAGAGCCAAGCACACGTCAAAATTCGCAGCGCAAAGTTAAGTTGTGAATTTTTTGTTTAATTTTACAATTTTCTCAGGATTTAGATATATATGTGCCCTCGCTCATGCAGCCGTCGTAATACTCCGCCTCCGGATGATGAATTCTACTACTGTCAGGTAGCCCAGACCGAAGCTCGTATGGTTTGTCCAGCTGGACACAGTTCGGGAACACGGCAGCGATTACTTTATTTGGCGTTGCGTCCAAAGTTACTGCAAAGGGTAGTCAGTATGACATTCTCGAGGCACAGAAACTCCGCGATCAACTAAGGGTTGGGGAGGCCCGGGGTTGGCAGAGTGGCAGTGACATACTTGTGGAAGAGCTGCGAGAAGATGCCGCCCTTGGGCTGTTGATCTGACATACTCTCGCGACGGGTAACGTTGGTCTGCGAGCCATGGTGCTGTTGCAGGCCTTCAAAGGCAGGCATCCAGCCAGAACTCTATGGTTGGACAGTGTTAGCCATGGTGTTGATACAATTGAATGCGGGGTAGCATCTGGCAGAGGAGAGGTGGGTGACAGACCCTGCGGCGAGCGCTGGTGGTGTTGTCCTTGTTCTCGGCGGGCGGCGGTTGAGTTGATTCAGCCATGATGATATGCTGGTTCAGGTCGATGAGGTTGATTTGGTTGGATTGTTGTGAGGAAATTGAGCCGTTTACGTTCGTACGAGGAAAGTTGCATAGCTTGATTAGAAGAAGGGGAGAGAAGGCCTGCTGACGAGCCGGCCTATAAGTACGTTGTGAGCATGCATGGATAAGAAGCTATAGTGACAAGGTTTCGGCGAACTAGGGGAACGAGTACCAATGACGTTCGTGGACGACGCTCCCGTAGCTGACGGCGTCGTGCTCGATTGCCTGTTTGGCTCGCTGTGGGAGGTGGCGCACTCGCCCTTTGGATGAGGGGAAGCAGCAAGTGACGCGCACGGGCGAGCCGAGACCCTCGATGGAAGCAGCAGGTATGATGATGATCAATCGATGTATCATTCTCAGGGTATCCTACTCGCGGTGCTGCTTTAGCACGAACGCATGAATGACTCGGAAGCAACGGTCAAGCAGAAGTGTCATATCCCAGCCTATACGTCCAACTCGTGGGTGAGGTTACATGAGGCCTCATACGATATGGCGAACCCTGGCCATCACCATGCATCGTTCCAGTCCATTGAGCACCACAAAGCGATCAAATGATGATGATATCTCACATCTGCAGAAACCTGAAAGCAGCAGTGGAACCATACCGGTTCATGTTCCTCTGCCAATTGACATATCGACAGCCGCCGCCTGGAGACAACGTTTGACTATCCGCCTTAGCTCGCGCCGTTCATCACTCGGCCCCCTCGCACGATGGAGAGCGGGGTTGTCGGCATCATACCTTCGTGCCGATCGAGGCTACGTTCCTGACCATTATAGCTAGTAATGGAATGGAAATTGATACCCTTGCGGCCATCGAACCACTCGAACCCCAACCTAGCCGACAGCTCTGTCCAATGACGCTCACGGGTGGCCCTTTGCTACCGACCACTATACGACAATCCATGCAACAGCCCGGCGGGATCCCGGCTCTGGCATAAGTCAAAGCTACCCAATAGTACAATGAACGGTCCAACCAGCGTTCGATAATTTGAAGAGGATGGTGTAAGCGAGAATGGCGGGCGTATCCACGGCTAAGATGGCTTATTATCCCACCTCGCTCATTAACTCAAGACTAGTAACCTCTGGTTGATTTACCAATATGCTTCCATTTTCTCCCCTGCAGATCACTACTATTAAGCAGTCGCCTATGGGGCGATTCTCGTTAGAAACACTCCGTCATACATGCTGCTGGTGGATCGGCCAATCCGCTCTGGTTCCGCCCGATGTATAGACTGTCTTTGGAATGATTCAGGTAGTGAAACTCGAAGACGCAATCATCAGGGTATCTGGCTCTCGTGCTTATTTTTTGTCTTCTCTATGTTCTCTTTGTCATATTTTGTTCTAGAAAGAAATCCGTCAAGCAGACTATTCAAATCGTTGTCTCTACTCCTTTTCCAGCCGTACAGCAGGATTGCGTTTGATGAAACTCAAGTCTACCTTGTGGCCTAACAGCTCACGAATGTTGGAAATCTTGTACTTGATCATGGTCGGTCTCTCCAGACTCAGTCCCCAACCGAATACGCGCATATCCTTTGGCAGTCCCATGGGTTCCAGCATTTCTGGTCGGAACATACCACTGTTGCCAATCTCGACGAGCTTGCCCAATCCCTCATGGTAGCTGAAAATCTCCATACTGGGCTCTGTGTATGGGTTGTATGCTGGCTTGAACTTGAGATTGGTGATTCCCATCTTTGCGAAGAAAAGCTCCATGAACTCCATCAATCCTCCTAGCGTCAGTCCGTAGTCGGCGATGACACCCTCTACCTGGTGGAACTCTGCCAAGTGCGTAGCGTCCACAGTCTCGTTACGGAACACTCGATCAATCGAGAAGTATCGGGCTGGAGGTGGGCGGCCGTCTGGGCCCTTCTGTGCTGCCAACTTGTAGAGCATGGCTGTTGAAATCGATGTGGTGTGCGTTCGAAGGACCAGCTTCAGGGATTCGTCTGCAGACCAGGGGTACTTGTAACCAGTAGACCCGTACTTGCCATTTTGATGTACCTCCTTCACGTTCTGCCAGTACTCTTCGGGATCCTGTCCCTCTACCAATGCCTCGGGCTTGCCACCGACCTTGGGATCCGCAATGAAGAAGGTATCTTGGAGATCGCGGGCGGGATGTTGTTGGGGCACGAAAAGAGTATCGAAGTTCCAAAATCCGGTCTCGACGAACTTGTTGGTAGGCATTTCCTCGAATCCCATCTCGAAAAAGATCTGTCGGAACTCATGGCGCACTTTGTTGAGAGGATGCAGGGAACCAGCGTCTTGGTCTGCCCCCAAAGCGTTGAAGTTGTAGGGCTTGAAATTGGCAGTCTTCCATGCACCAGAGCTGAGCATCTCCGAGGTGAGGTCGGTTTCCTCCTTGACCATCTCCAACGCAAACTTCTCGCCCTTCTCCAGCTTGAAATTCAAGACCTTCTGCACCTTGATCAGCTTGCGCTTCTTGAGATCAGTAACCGTCTTGGCGTCGGCGGTTTTCCCCTCCTTCAGCTGCTGCAGTAAAGCTTGTGTGGTATCCTTAATCGAGTCGACCTAGAATAAGAGTAGGGATCTGAGTCAGTCGAGAGCATTCTCAGTGAAGTGAGGTGGTGGTGCGCATACTGTAGCAACCAGCTTTCCGTCCTTGCCCTTTCCAATCCACTTCTCCTTGAAGGCTTTTCCCCTACCAAGGTTGGCCACACTCTTATCACCAATGGTCGTCTCCAATTCCTGGATCGTCAACCCCTCCAAAGCCTGGCGCACCACCTCGAAAACCCGAGCTTCATGGCTACCCTGGGCAGCAATCTGCTCTGCCTCTGGCTCTAATATGATTTCCTCCTTATCGATAGTCTGGTATGTGATCATGGATCGCGAGGCGAGACGGTCGAGTGCTGCCTTGACTTCGAGGGCTGGGACGGCGGGGAAGGCTTCAGAGGATACGAGGGGGCTTTGGATCGACAGGGCCTGAAGCAGTTGGGTCGGGAGGTCTCCCGAAGAAGGAGTATTTTGAGTTGCCATCTTCCCGGAAGTATAAGGAGACGTCGAGGCACGCCACCAGGTAAATCGCGTGGATGTGGCCTTTTTTTTCCTGACACGGGATTATTGAGTCACGATTAGAGAAGCCCGAATATCGCTGGCGTCCGCGGGGTGAAATTTACCAGTGGAGGCGCACGCACTACGCCTAAAGCTCCAGCCAGCCCACCGTACCTGCTGCCGTTGGAGGGGCAGGCTCCTATCCGGATTTAGGGTTGGTCCGATAAGCACTATCACCAGAGCGCAGTGTTCTTACTTGTCAAGGTACTTGTTGTCGGTGATGTTGGTCATGGCTTATTGCGATTTACAAAAGAAGAATGTTTAATTCAACGGGTAAATTCAGAAATGAAATCAGCAGTTCGCATTTCCCCCTCATCTTGGCTAGCTTTGAATAATGTTGCTCGAGCTACCTCGTTTGAGTCCTGCCTTGGCAGAGTACCCTTGGGCTCGCTGGTATCGCTTACACTTCTTACGCACTGCCGCTTTAAGAAACAGCAGCAACCAGGGTGATATAGCTTGGTGTATCCCCCACGGAGCCGAGATTTATAGAGGGCGGCAAGCTGGCTAAACCTAAAATAGCCCTATCTGGCCCAGCCAACAATCAATGCAACCAGAGGAGTCCCGGGTATTTTAAACGGCAGGCACCGGTCGCCGGCACTACGTACTTGCGAGCAGGGTCAACATCACCTTCGATTGATTTCATGCAGGAACTCCTTCTCATCTGCTTCCATGCGGTTCCTTATCTCGGCCGACAGACAATGAAGAACCGGCGACTATGAACAATGATTCACCGTCGACTTCCGCAGCGCCAAATCGATATTCGACCGACGGTATAGCAGGCGGCGCAGGCCTGCACCATCACCAACCGCCTGAACAGGATGGAGATGTACCAAGGAGCCCCGGGTCTCGCGATGGCCAGCGCAGAAGGCGGAAGAACCGAAAGAAGAGGAATCCGGGGCTTAAGAAGAAGCTTGCCTTCGTCACACATCTTCTCAAAGGACTAGATACCGTCGTGCTTGCGGAGCTCAGTGCTTTGTATTACATGGAGTACGTTTGCCTGTATATGCCTACACAAACGCCTCACTCCCATTCTCTTCTCTCACTTGGCAAATTTTCCACGGTTACCCCAGTATGCTGACATTATCGTATCAGATGCTCCTTATTCCGATTCCTCATCCGAGCTGCTGGCCAGTTCGTCTGCCTCTCCCCGAAAGATGAGGCATCTCCCTTTCTCCTCCCAGCGAGTCGGATCCATGTACTCCTGATTCTTGTACCCAACATATGGTGTATGCTTATGCATCTTTTCGGCGGATTGCCTAAGGGCCCAGACTACCATCGAGGATATCTTCACGGAGGCCTCATTTTCGACTTTATCGGCCAAAAGCCTCCACAATATCGGATGTACTATTTCATGGCGGACTTGGCTATACTTTTCTTGCAGTGTTTTATGCTCACAGTGCATTCGGAGCGGGAAAAGCTCCGTTTAGCCTTGAAAACCTTTCGGCCCATATTCTCGGACCCAGCAACAACAGCTAGGATTGCGCGAACTATCGAAGAGCTGGATGCTGAGGAACAGGGTCTGCAAGGTGTGTATCCAGACGCGGAGAATGAGGTGGGAGATGTAGAATTACAGTCTCTTGGGAGGGGTAATGGAGAGACAAGCTCGGAACGGAGGAGCGACCTTGAACTATCGGGTCGACCCAGTCATGAAGGGTCCAGGTCCCATTTAGCAGATATACTCAACTCTGGGAATGCTGTGATTGGCGAATATCACATAGTGAACACCATGCGTGTTGCTGCCACGGAGCTTGAGCGAACAGCCAGTACTTCTATTTCAAGTATTGGAACTCTGGCTGCTCTAGAAGCTGAGCGAAGAGGTGTCACCCTGCCATCTCGACCGGGGGCAACAGTTTGAGTCTACATACAAACATCAATCCACAATCGCATATCAATAT